AAAAAATTACATTTGTTTTATATCTGGATTGCCGATATCATTTAAAAATTTCCATGTATAGTTCATTCATGAACACGAAGGGTATCCACTCGTTTAAACCACTTATTATAAACTTTACGCATATAAATTCTTTGAACTGCATCATGAACCATCCATTGATGTGTACGCTACATTTTGCTTTCCTCTGCTTATGTGCAGGAAATCTAAACAATCGAACGTCTGTAGATTTACTTTTACAATTTGGTACCACACAATAACCCATTATTTAAAGGTTTGAGTACTTATATACGTAATAATAGTCGACTCACGCGGAAACTACGTATGGAGTGTAGTTTATCGATAAGTCCCAAAATGGCCGCTGCCGCATAAAATCACGGGAGCGTGTCCTGACCTTCTTATATAGACCTTGATGTTATTTAGTGGAAATTTTAAAAAAAAAGCAGTTTTTCTATTTTTTTAGAAAATACAGTATTAATTAAAAATGAATTACTGCTATTTTAAAAAATTAACTCTAGATTAGTCAATTTTTTTTTTAACTTCCCGGCCTTTTCTCCGTCCTGAGGGTACTAAAACAGTCTCTTATAGTAAGCCCATTACGGGTTTGGCCAGGCTCACAATATAGCGGCCGGGTAGTGAGAAACAGGGAACCAAAATATCCGAACGGATCATATTCCGATAAGTTTTTGTAGTTTATTCGATCTGTCCGGATTTGAGCCCTGGTTTCCGAAAGAGGTAGGTTGTTACCTTGACCGTTCGGCCATCCGGCCTTCACTTTTTTTTGTTTGGGTACTTTTAGACTATTAATTTTATAGAGACACAAAAGATTAGAACTTCTGTAATGTGGCATTAAATGTACAGTTTATTACAAATTAATGACCAGACTTTTTTCTTCCGAATCCTTGCAAACATTGCACAAGTGACTACACCTTTTAAAAATTTGTGTTTCTTTTTTCTATGAGATTATGACAACGACTGAGAAAATTATATAAAATATATGTTGGCTAATTTCAATAATAAACATTAACAATACTATAACATCTGTAAAATATATTGGAATGAAAAATTCATATTCCTGTGTAATTATTAATTAAACACTACAAAAGTTAAGAGTTATTAGATGTTGGAAGTTTAATTTGAACAATTACAGTTTAAAAGGTATATATAAACAATTAACACATTAAACGTTACAAATAAGATATAAAAATAACATTCTATCTACTATCGAAACATTAAAAAAAATTGAAAATGCATTACCAGTCACAGAATTTCTTATAATGTTGTTATATCTTCATTGACAAAACTGTTTTTACATAAAAATTAAATGAAACCCATCAGTATGCGTCATTAAAAAAACATCAATTTTCTACTTCCGACTGGTCGGTCTTCTGTTTTTGCTTAATATTATCCCAGTCGAATACGGAGTCGTATTGATAATTAAGTGTGCGAAATAAATTGCTAAATAATTGCCTCAGGTACGTATAATCTGGTGTTTCATCAAAGCGGAGACCTCGACAGTAATTCAAGTACGTTGCAAATTCGGCCGGAAATCCATCACAAAGAACTTCTACTGGTATCGACATTTTCCTTTCAGTTATTTTTTCATATGTTTGTTTCTTGGTTGCTGCTGCCAAGCCTTGCCACGGTAGACTTCCACGATTAAAATACATTAACACATATCCTATCGACTCCATATCATCCCTACGACTTTGTTCGATACCCAAATGGGCATTAATGCTAACATAACTGGTAGTACCAGTAAAACGTGTGTCCTCACGATAAGGTATATGTTGTCCTTTGCGAATATATTGTTTTGCTTCACCAAAGTCTATGAGATAAAGCTTACTGCGATGTCTTCCAATTCCAATAAGAAAATTATCTGGTTTAATGTCTCGATGAATTAAATTCTTATAGTGAACATATTTAATTCGTCTAATCATCTGATCAGCTAGCATTAAAACAGTTTTCATAGTAAAATGTCGTGAACATAATGTAAAAAGGTTTTCTAAACTTATTCCAAGACGATCCATGACTAAAACATTAAAATCACTTTCTTCTCCATACCATCGTATACGAGGTATTCCGTTACCACCTTGAAGAATTTCATAGAATTTGCCTTCGTAGAGTAGTCGTGGATACT